CTGCAGCGGCGCCCCCAGGTCCCCAGGTCTGGGGGGAGCCGGTTTCTGCCTCGAGCGCTCAGCAGCCCAGAAGCAGGACAGCGAAGGAGAACCTGCCCAGGCACGGAGGCTGAGCGTGGCCGGGGGATGGGAAAACACGAGGCCATCACGCCCCCAGTTTGTACCCGAGTGCATCCCAGCCCTCTGCCCTGGGGTCCGCCCCGAGCCTGTACCTTAGCGAGTTCTTCCCGCCAACGATGCGCTTCTGCCGACGGTGCAGCGGTCGGAGCCCACAGCCGGGGACGGGCGCTGGGCGGAAAGGGGAGGAATGACACTCAGGCCAAGGCGGGCACACACAGCCCCGCTGCTCCTGCCGCTTCAAATGCCTCCCTCAAACCACAGGCTGCTTTCCCACCGGAGCCAAAGGTTGCCTGTCACGCCCTGAGGCAGCGCCACTCACAGCAGGCAGGGCACTGGCTTCCCGGTCCGTCCAGATGTGACCCCGTCAGCACCCACACCTCCTCCTCTGCTGGCCAGAGGCTGTTAGGGCTTCGGGAACGTTAACCAAAGGGCACAGTGGTCTCGTCACTTGCTTCTCACACACAGCCCTCTGCCACCCCCCTGTGCACATGCCACCCTCAGAGGGCATCTGGCCCAAAGGCACACCGACCCCCACATTCACATATCAAAAGGGCTTACTGCGCCCCTTCAGGTGGCAGACTGTATTTACTTATTTTATTGTATTAGGGCCTTCCTGTAAAAACTAGACCTGCTAGACAAATTCAAGAAGAGCTAGCTGTAAGCACTTTTTAAATAATTTTTAAAAAATATTTGTAGTGATTTCAGAGAGGAAGGGAGAGGGAGAGAGAGATAGACACATCAATGATGAGAGAGAATCATTGATCGGCTGCCTCCTGCCCGCCCCCCGCTGGGGACAGAGCCCACAACCCAGGCATGTGCCCTGACTGGGAATTGAACTGTGACCTCCTGGTTCATAGGTTGACGCTCAACCACTGAGCCACTCTGGCTGGGCTGGCAAACTGTGTGTCATCACACTTCCAAGATAACAACCTTTACAGCAAGAGCATGAACAAAAGAGCCAAGTTAAGAAGATGTGAGTGGTGTGCAGAAGCAGATGGAATTGAAGGTGTGGCTAATGTTCCATGTTTCAGAAGGTGGAACTGATAGGCGAGCATTCAGCTCTCTGGGGAAGGCATGTGTAGAAAGGGTAGGTAGAGACTGACTATCTGGGTGCGGACCTGGAGCCCGGGCAGCACCAGTGGCTGCCTGGTGACCAGCAGAGGGCGGCCCGTCCTGTGGAGGAGGCTCGCCAGGTCCCCAGAGGGCTGAGTGCCGCGTGAGCTCCTGCGCAGGCCGGGTCCTCACCGCAGGACGCCAGGCCGCTCACCGGCTCTGCCCACTGTGAGGCCGGGGAGAACAGACGGTGCAGGAACCCCCCGAGCCAGGCCTGCGGGGTGCTGCCAAGCGGGGACCAGGGAATGCTGAGCCGGCGAGGCGGGCGGAGCACCAGCTTACAAGGAGGAAAATCTATTGAGGGCCACAGAGTCCACCCTTACAATGCTTAACAGGCAAAATGAAGCTCACTTATCAAAGGACCCCCTCGGATGACCCACCGCTGAAGTCTGAATCACCTGCTAGCAGTCAGTCACTAGGTCTCGAGCCTCAACACGGAAGCAGCAGGTGAGTGAGCCAGACTCTACAATCTGGGGGTCTGAGATAAACACCTTTTTATCTGACGGACAGCAGCACTGGGACCTTGGAAATGTATCAAAATAAACGTTGCTGCAACTCTAGCAAGGCCGGTCCTGGCCGGTTTGGCTCAGTAGATAAAGCATCAGCCCATGGACCACAGGGCCCCAGGTTCAATTCTAGCCAAGGGCACGTACCTGGATCGCAGGCTCAATCCTGGCCCCAGGTCTGGGCACGTGCGGGAGGCAACCAATCCATGTGTCTCTCTCACATCTCTCTCTCTCTCTCTCTCTCTCTCTCTCTTTCTCTGTCTCTCTCCCTTCCACTCTCTCTAAAAATCAATGGGAAAATATCCTTGGGTGAGGATTAACTCTAAGAAGGCATAAGAACAAATGCATAAATCATAGAGAAATAAATCTCATACTTTAAAATAGGTTTACGTGGGACTATAGTAAAACATGTTACAATTACTGGGTTTTTGTGTTTGTTTTTTGCTTAAGGAATAATTGACAGAATGTTCTGAGTTATATTCAACCTGTAACTGAGGTTGGATTACTGAAGGGAGTTTAATAAAATGAGTTATAACCAATACCTAGGAAGGACTGGCTTGCCGGCTCGTATTTGTCACGGACATAAATGCATGTGTCCCCGAGCACAGAGGGTTGTAAATGTTTCTCTACTTTCAAAAGCCCCTCAGAGAGCGAAGAACCAGCGTGTTCACTGTCTGCTCCCGGGGCGCTATGAGAAGACGTTAGCGGAGAACGTCCACATGTTGATGCACCCGCTTTGCAGAAAATCCAACACGTCATGACCGTGACCTTAGTGCATGTAAACAAAGGGGATTGTTCTTTCCATGAAACAGGGCCAGTTTCCTCCGGAACAGCTAGTGCCCGCTCGCTCCCGCACCCCGTGTGCGCCGTAAGGGGGGCCTCCGTTCGGACGCGTGGCAGTGAACGGGCTGACGCAGAACTTGTTTCACAAAGTTACACTCGGGGCTTTCAAGAACCCTTCGATTTAGGCACAACACACGGTGCCTGTCCCCTATGAAAAGACTCTTTCTCCTTTTCCTGACATTTTTAATTTCATAAAATAAAAGCTACAGAAAATAATTTCGTCCTCTAAGAAACGACCCCTGCTGTTTCAAATATCAGGATGCGTAGCAGCGCCTTCCTGGCATTCCGCTTCAGATTTTAATTTCCTTTTAGGAAGTGAATGTCAACTCGGCCTTTGGGACACCACCGACTGGGAGGGGTCGCTGCCTCGGGGCTCCCTGATGGCCCCCACGCCCCCAGCAGCCCGGGGTGGGGCGGCCGGCATTCCCGGGCGTGGGGTTCGGCTATGGGGGTGCTGCTCCCAGGCATGGCTGGGGGGGTGCAGGGGCCAGAAGGGGCCTTACCTTCATCTCCGTCG